CCACCTCCCCATGTCTGTAGTAGACAGTGTGCCTAGCCACACACACACACACACACACACATCACACTGCTACTACAACTTACAACTAGCATTTGAGAAAACCACTACACTAAGGCTATCTATAACCATGAAATTCAGACTGTTGGCCTACTGAAAAAATACAGAAGCAAAGCAAAGGACCCTACCCAATATATGTAATAGTCACACTCTCAAGGAGGGAAGAAAAAATCCACCCAAATGAAAGTAAATTCAGAAATAAGAAGTTACAGCTTCAACAGATGAGAAGGAGCCAGTACAAGAACTTCAGGACTACGAAGAAACAGAATATTATGACATCCCCCAAGGACCACACTAGCTCTCTAGCAATGGATTCTAACCCAAATGAAAACTTTGAAATGACAGATAGAGAATTTAATGTTTGGATTGTAAGAAAGTTCGGTGAGATCCAAGAGAAAGATGAAAACCTACACAAAGAAATCAGGAAAACAATTCCTGAGGGAGGAGAAGAAAAAGTAAGACACTTGGAAAAAAATAGGAAAACAAAACAAACAAGCAACCAAAAAAAACCCCCAAAGCTAGCAGAAGAAAACAAGTAACAAAGATCAGAGTGGAACTAAATGAGATTGAGACAAAAAAACAAAACAAAACTCAACAACAATGACATAAAGGATCAACAAAACAAAAAGTTGGTTTTTTGAAGGGATAAACAAAATTGATAGACTGCTAGCTACTTTAACCAGGAAAAAAGAATATTCAAATAAGCACAGGCTGGGCATGGTGGCTCACACCTGTGATCCAGCACTTTGGGAGGATGAGGTGGGAAGATAGCTTGAGCCCAGAAGTTCAAGACCAGCCTGGCAATATAGTGGGATCCTGTCTTCCCAAAAGAACTTTTAAAAAATTACTTGGGTGCAGTGGTGCACACCTGTGGTCCTAACTACTTGGGAGAGTAAGGCGGGAGAATTTCTTGTGCCAAGAAGGCTGAGGCTGCAGTGAGCTGTGATCGTGCCACTGCACTCCAGCTGGGCAATAGAGCAGGACCCTGTCTCAAAAAACAAACAAAACCAAATAAGCACACTCATAAATGATAGAAGTAACACTATGACTGATACCAAAGAAATATAAAAGATCATCAAAGGTTACTATAAGTACCTCTATGCACACAAACTAGAAAACCTAGAGGGAATGGATAAATTCCTGGAAACATGCAACCTCCCAAGACTGAATGAGAAAGATACAGAAATCTGGATCAGACCAATAACAGTTAATAAAATTGACACAATAATAAAAATCTTCCAACAAAAAAAGCCCAGGACGAGACAGATTCACAGCCAAATTTTACCAGGTATACAAAGAAGAGCTGATACTAATCTTACTGAAAATATTCCAAAAAATTGAGAAAGAGGGATTTCTCCATAACTCATTTTACAAAATCAGTATCCCTGATACCAAAATCAGGCAGGAACACAAGAACAACAAAAAACTGCAGACCAGTAGCCCTGATGAAAATAAATGCAAAGATCCTTAACAGAATATTAGCAAACCAAATCCAAGAGTACATCAAAAAGATAATTCATCATGATCAAGTAGGTTTTATTTCATGGAATGCAAGGATGATTCAACATATGCAAATCAATAAATATGATTAACCACATAAGCAGAATTAAAAATAAAAATTAAAAACACCCAAAATTGAATATGAAGAATGGATGATAAAAACAAAATGAAAACAAAAACATAAACCATATGATCATAACAATAGATGCAGGAAAAGCATTCAGCAAAATCCAACATCCCTTTGCGATAAAAACCCTCAAGACTCTAGGCATTGAAGGAACACACTTCAAAATAATAAGAGCCATATATAACAAACTCACAGCCAACATCATACCGAATGGGGAAGAGTTGAAAGCATTTCCCATAAGAACTGGAACAAGACAAGAATGTCCACTCTTACCACTTCTATTCAACATAGTACTGGAAGTCATAGCCAAAAAAGTCAGGCACGAGAAAAAATAAAAGGAACCCAAATTGGAAAAGAGGAAGTCAAATTATCTTTGTTTGCTGATGACATAATTTTATACCTAGAAAATCCTGAAGATTCCTTCAAAAGACTGCTAAACCTTATAAACAATTCAGTAAAGTTTCAGGACATAATATTAATGTACAAAAATCAGTTGCATATCTATACACCAACCGATGCTCAAGCTGAGAGCCAAATGAAGAACTCCATCCCATTTACAATAGTCATGTACACACAGAAAGTAACTAGGATCATACATTTAACCAAGGAGGTGAAAGACCTCCACAAGGAGAAATATACAAAACACTGATGAAAAAAATAGTAGATGACACAAACAAGTGGAAAAACATCTCTTGCTCATGGATTGGAAGAATCAATATCATTAAAATGATCAAGTTGCCAGAGCAACAGATTCAACACAATTCCTATCGAATTAATAACATCATTCTTCACAGATTTAGAAAAAACAATCCTGAAGTTTATATGGAACCAGAAAATAGCCTGAATAGTCAAAGCAATGCTAAGCAAGAAGAACAAAGTCAGAGGCATCACATTATCTGACTTCAAACTATACTGCAAGCTTATAGTAACTAAAGCAGCATGGTACTGGCACAAAAATAGATACATAGATCAATGGAACAGAATAGAGAACGCAGAAATAAATCCACATGTCTGCAACCAACTTATCTTTGACAAATATAAACAATGGGAAAAGTATACCCTATTCAATAAATGGTGCTGAGAAAATAGGCTAGCCATATGCAGGAGAATGAAATGGGACCCCTTACTCTTACTATTTATAAAAATTAACTCAAAATGGATTAAAGGCCTAAATGTAATACCTAAAACTATAAAAGCCCTAGAAGAAAACCTAGGAAAAACTCTTCTGGACATTGGGCTAGGCAATGTATTTATGACTAAGACCTCAAAGCAAATGTAACAAAAACAAAAACAGATAAATGAGGCTTAATTAAACTAAAAAGCTTCTGCACAATAATAAGCAATAGAGTCAACAGACAACCTGCAGAATGGGAGAAAATATTTGCAAACTATGGATCTGTCAAAGGACTGATATCCAGAGTCTACAAAGAACACAAACAGCAAGAAAAAACAATCCATTAAAAAGTGGGCAAAGGACATGAACAGACATGTCCTCGAAAGAAGACATACAAGTGGCCAACATACATATGAAAAATTCTCAACATCACTGATCATCAGGGAAATGCAAATTAAAACTACAATGAAATACCATCTCACTTCACTCAGAATGGCTACTATGAAGTCAAAAAACAACAGATGTTGGCATGGACACAGAGAAAAGGGAATGCTTATACACTGTTGGTGGGAATGTAAATTAGTACATCTATGTATTAATAAAACAGTATGGAGAGTCTTCAAAGAATTCAAAATAGAACTACCATTCAACCCAGCAATCCCACTACTAGGCATCTACCAAAAGGAAAAAAAATATTATGTCTAAAAGACACATGAGCTTGTATGTTTAATGCAGCCCTATTTACAACAGCAAAATCATGGAATCAAAGTGTCCATCAATAGCCGACTGGATAAAGAAAGTGTGATATATGTATACACCATGGAATACTATGCAGCCAAAAAAAAAAATCATGTCCTTTGTAGCTGGAGGCATATGCGTGTGTGTGTGTGTGTGTGTGTGTATGTGTGTGTGTGAATATATATGAAAAGCTTATACATAATATCTTTGTTTTTTGATGGCAGATAGTAACAAATTACTATAGTTTTTAAATTCAATTGAATAAATAAACAACACAGTAATTTAAAAAAATGCCAATATATACTATATTCTGAAAAATTGCATCTTTTGGGGATTTTCAAATATTTGACAAAAAATTTAAGGTGTCAACTTAAAAATTTGAAAACCACTTATGTGTACTTTCTGTACTCTTACGACACTCCTTATAGTACTATAACTAGTTGTTTTCAAATCTTAGCTCTTTTATGAGAATGCAAGTGACTGAGGGTAGGGACTATGTTTTCTAAGCTTTGTATGTGTCACAGAACTTTAAAAAAGTGTCTTGTTCATAAAAGGAACTCAACTAAATATTTGCTGAATTAAATTATTTTCCTCAAACGGAGTCATTCATTTCTCTTCTACTGTTCTTATTTAATCTTCAGGTTAGTTTTTCTACTACTTATAATTAAAACAACTGCCAGATGGGAATAAAATTTGGCCTTAAAAAATCATTCACATTTTATTTCTAAAATGAGAATGGGAAAGTACTGTCAGAAGGAAATGAGTATACATAATAAACCAATATCAGTTTTTAAAGTGTGTTTTTTTCTATATAAATGAAGCAACACTAAGCATTCAGAAATGTATTTATTGATATCAAACTATTGTATATATATACTTTTAACTCAAAGTAGTTTCTTTTCATGATCATGCACCAAATTAGCAGTAAAAATAGCAGCAGATGGATTAGAGTGGTTGTCAATAAACCTTTTCTCCCCAGGTCACTAATACATAATTGCCATGAAAAAGAAAAACCATATATATGTATTTACACTTGACTCATCACCTCGCTTAGGACTCTAGAGGGTCAGTTCAGCACAAGATATTGCTGAACTGCTGTATTTACTACATATGGAACAATTAAACTAGCAATAAGAAGTAGTTTATGCATGTATGCTGGCCTACATGTATATACCTCTTTGGCAATTAATGAGGATTATCAACAAAGTTTGGTCTTGTCTTGTGATTATAATTCTATTATATTACATTTAAATGTGATATACAGAATTTTTTTTTATAATTAGTATTATTCTAAGAAATAATAGTACATGTAGATCCTGTAAAAATAACATAACTTATACAAAAGCAAATTCAAAAAATACAATAAAAACTCTTATAATGTTACTTAAGGAATATCAGGTTTGGATTTAGGAATTAGATAGCCTAGTATCTCTTCTGATTCTTTGTTGTTGTTGTGTTTTTCAGGGGAGAGCATGAACACATGCATACTACAAACTATGCAGTTGGGTTTGCCATATTTGGGGAAATGGCAGGGGTCAGCACATCCGGAGTATAATGGATGAGCCTTGCCCTGGGAAAACCACCTTTGTGATTGTGATAGCTCCCCTGCCAGGTAAGCAATCTCTCCTGATTCTTCCCATTCCCTCATTGTTGTGAGATTGTTTCTTTGAAGCAAGAAAATATTATCTTGAACTTATAAAACTCCTTTTTTTTAAAAGAAAAATTTGGAACTATCTCATATATGATAATTCTTTATCCTAACAGTATTGCTATGAATACTAGTTCTAGGTAGCATTTATTGGGTACTCTCTTTGTAGCAGGCACTATGCTTAGCACTTCATGTTTAATCCTCACAACTCTCTGAGGTAGGTAATATTACTGTGCCCATTTTACAAGAGAGGGCTTGAAACCCAGGTTCATGGAAGGCAAAAGACACAAATGGGGATATTAATATTCTGGCCTTCCTGAACTCCCCATTAGACTGTGAACTCCTTGAAGTGTAGGGGGAGGGAGCAATGCCTTACTACATCTTAGTTGCATTACAGTGCTGACCATGTAGAGGAAAGTAGGGAGGAGGAAGCTAAGATAGGACCTTTTCCTGGGAGTCATGACAGTGGGCAATCCTAGATGTAGCAGGTGAATGCCAGACCAAAAACTCTAATTCTCATACTTCAAACAAGCTAAGAGAAAAATCACATTTGTAAAGACATTAGAGTATACAAACACTTCCACAAAAATGAGGGAGTACCTGGAAAGTTAGGTGTTCAAATTCACATCTGATTTCCCTGGGATTAAATCTAATTAAGTAGTGTCAATTTTATTTTTTATTATGATGTATACCATTGAAGACCTATAATTTTTTATTATAGTAAGCTAGTTATTTGGTAAAGCTTTATCAGCTTCTTGTTTCCCTTTAATGTTTCTTTTCAACTCACATGTATCTCTGCAAGGAAAAAGTTGTAGAAGGGGGAACAATATAAGGTACTTAAATTTCTCTGAGGCAGAAAACTTCAGGGTCTGAATTTCTGATGTTTGTGGGCCAAAACAGTGAATAAGCACTTGAAAGTGGTCTTTGGAATTTTTAATTTAAATGTTTACCACTTTATTTTGTTAGTAAATGAGATCAGGAGTAGTGATTTGATTAAATCACATATATCGCCTATGAAAGTGTTAAGCTCCTTTATCATTGTTAACACTGGGCCTCCCAAAGGCCATCGGCATCCCAAAGGCCATCCAACCAGGAGCCATTTTCCTGCTCCTGCCCTATTTAGAGACCCTATATTTTTGTCCAGAATTCACAGTTTAGCACAAAGATGTCCTCAGTTATTTTAAGCTCATTTTGACTGTATCCTGAAATCCCAAGTGAAAATAGTTTATCCCAAATTGGCCCAAAAGAAAAACAAATCACACTGAAAAGAAACAATTTCTTGTTGTTTGGACTGCTAAATTACATATATGTGAACAACTTTAGAAAACAAGGCAAATGTTCAGGGTTTTTAATTATTTCACTCTTAAAAGAGTATTTTTTAAAACGTGCTTTTCTTCAGTACACATTAAAGCAAACATAAGAAGGATTGATCAGTGCTCCAGTTGGTGGAGAAAACAGCCTAGAGATACGTTAGCTCCCAGCTAAGCTTTTGGGACCCATCAGAACTGTATTTCCATAATTGTAAAATTGACTGTAAGCTAAAGTCTCTTTAATCATCTATGTATTTCCAATTTGCCTATGTAGGTAAAGGCAGATTGATAGTGTACAATGCATGTTAGTAATGGCCATAGAATAGTTTGACTAGAATCTGTATATACCTAAGACAAAGAAGGAAATGTCAAAGGAGACGATTATTTTATGTTAGGAACATACCATAAAACAATTAGTCTTTCCAGGAAAATTAAACAGGGATTTTTATGAAGTCTGAAGCTGAACATTTATGAAGTTTCAGAAGCCCACACTGAAGAATCCTCCAACCCTACCTTTTCAACTTGAGACATAATAATTCAGAAAATATTTTTAACAAACCGATCAATCCTTTACTTCAAATTTTCTTACATTAGATTTGATCAAACTTATTAGGAATTTGAGGTAATATACCAAATGTCTGACTCATGATTTTTTGAGTGCATGTGAAAACCAGGCTGTGCTCAATTAAAAAGCAAAACAAACTATAACTCAAAGGATTGTACTAGAAGGGAATCAACATGGTTTTATAATAGATGTTAATGTTAACTGATGGCCCAGGCTATATGATCAGGTGAAACCCTTTTAGTGTTACATCTTGCAAAAGATTTGTCCATTAAATAAAGGAACTAAAATGGTTTTCTTTTATGAGTGCTGAAATATTTTGATAAGCCTACCAGAAATGAAAATTTTTCTCTATAGACATATTTTAGTATACTCTGTAATCCATTCCACATGAAAATACAGAACAAAGGTAAAATTTTAAACAAAATACAAATTCTAGTACTCAAGAAAAAAGCTGAGTGAGATAAATGGAAGAGTTGTCTATTTTAACATGGAACTTATTGCCACTGGCCATATCTCCTTTAATATAAGATCTATGGGTAAGAAAATTCCAATTTAATGATATTCAAATATACAAATATTAGTTGCATCCTCAGGTTTCTAGTTATGTGTTAAAAAAGTAACATGATATGTTGAAACCTCTTCAATTTTAGAAGAACCTTGTTATAAAGAACAGAGCTAAAAATGTTAGAACCACCTGCCCTTTAGTGTAACAAAATAAACTAGCCTTTTTGGTTTACTTAATTATAGTCTTACCATCAAAAATATATTCTCTAACTTAAAAAAATACTTTTTTGGTAATATTTGATGACATTTCTGATGACAGCACATAAAAATAAAACAATACTTAAAGATGTATACATAAAATGCTCAAGGAATCGTCATTTAAAAACAGACGGTTCCCTTACTGTTTCTTTTCATGTCAAGAAGCAGGGTTTTTTTTTTTTTCAGACAGTCTCCGTAGCTCCTAGGAATTTCATTTCTACGGCAGCTTTTGCCCTGTGGGCTGAGCCACTCTTCTTTTGGAATTCTGCAGCAATTTCCTCAAAAGACTTTCCTTTGGTTTCTGGAACTTTAAAAAATGTAAACAGGGTAAAGGCCAGGAGCACTCCAGCAAAGAGGAAAAACACGTAAGGTCCACAGAAGTCCTGGGTAGAAAGCAAACACAGACTTCCAGTTAGCAGTTGTTTGACCCTCTCTTCTGTTCAGTAAATCTGTGAAATATTAGGCTGCTTACCGCAATGTACTGGAAACCCAGAGCTACAATGAAATTGCAGGTCCAGTTGCTGAATGCAGCTATTGCTAAAGCAGCAGGACGTGGTCCTTGACTGAAAAACTCAGCCACCATGAACCAGGGGATCGGGCCTGGCCCAATTTCAAAGAAGCTGACAAAGAGGAAGATGGCTATCATGCTCACATAACTCATCCAAGAGAACTTATTCTGAGGAAAAAAACGAAAACAATAGTGGGACTGAGATCATTAGCTGCTTTTTCCTTTAGCTAGGTAGCCTCTGAGTTCAGAGGCAGGCATACATCTTTTTCTAATGTGTTTTGTTCAAGCAAGTCTAAGTTATTCTAGTCTGAGATAAATTGTTCTAGTCTGAATCATGCTTAACTCTTTAGACTTAGAGTTCTTATAAGGAAATCCTCTGGATTAGGATTTTCCTGTGAAAGAGGCAGGGCAAGGATCCAGTGACCTTTGCTCCTACTCATACAAGGTTTCCAGACAAGATGTATAGCTTCCTGTGAAGTAGTAGATGAGAATGCCAGGAGAGCAGAGGTTCAGGTACATGCCCAAGGTCACACAGGAAGCCATGTGGCAGAGTCAGCATTAAAACCCAGTTGGTGGTGAATCCAGAGCCTATGCTCTAACCATGGGTACATGGCCTCCCTGGATGTCAACCAGAATTTACATGCTGATATTCAGCCTTAAACCCAAGAAACTAGTTCATCTTTTCTTTATATATCTCCTTTGATTTTATGCTGTTGCTCTGGCTTTATTTCATAAGTCAGTCTCAAATATTTTTGAATACAAAGCACTTTTACCTGGACCACAGAGGTGCCATGTACCATCATATATTAATGAAAAACCTCAGTGTAGGCACCAAACTTACCAGCAGCACAAGTCCCACTGACATGAAGATGGCACAAACAAACATCCCACTCATTCCAATTAGAAAGAGAGAACGTCGCCCTGCCTTCTCCACAAGGAATACCTACGACAGTTTTAAAGAAGATTATCTCAGTTTTGTGAGTCACAAAATATTGACTGTTTACTTAAATCATTTTTACTGCCAAAGAGGTCATTTTAATTTATATAACAGATAGGAAGTAATTCCACCCTTCCATTTTACAGGAGTGAGATCGAGGTGGGAAGTGACTGCCCCGGGTGGCAGAGCTAGTCTCAGTGGACAGCGGGTAATGATCAAATATCTGCTTAATTTAGTCACATTGGTTTGAATAGGCCATTATAGAGATAGAAACATAGTGTTACCACTACTCTAGGATTATCACTTTGGGTACAATATTCAGAGACTGTACAGCTGGAGTCTCTCCCAGTAGATGTCCTGTACATTTAAAATGTGAAGGTTCCACATTTAAACATGACATTAACTTCTTTTCTGATAACTATCCTAAGTTATAATTACAAGGGTCTGTGCACTACTGACACCGGAAACAGTACAGCTGTTCAGGTGTCAACTAGTCTTGTCCAATTTTCTCACTGCTTAATAAGTCCTATTATGACCACTCACCTGGCAACATATGGAATTTGATAATTGTACCAAAATAGGCCTGCATTTTTCTGTGTATGCTTAATTGTATCTTTTGCCAGGAGTGAACTATTCATCTTAAAAGTTAGGACTTTAAAGCAAAGGGTGAAAATGCTTTCTTATCTTAACTGAGGAGATACGTCGTTGATTCCTTTAGTTTTGTGGACCTTTGCATTAATGGTTAAGATTTACAATTAGCCAAGACCAGAGTTTGTTATACTCTTGCCTGATCCTTGGAATATTACCAAGGCTGGTGAGTCACTCTCCCTCTCACCCCCCACAAAACTTCCTGTCATAAGTTCTCACTTTGGCGCCTGGTGA